TTTCTGGTACGTTGACCATGGGAACCCGTGACATTCGTGCATTTATACTTTAGAAAACGAATGTGCGCGGCGCTAAAATGAGAGCCACATTTTGAAAACGACCCGCCCTCCATCTTTGAAGCTCCTGCAAACGTTTAAGACGAATGTACGCGGTGCTAAGGTGAGAACCACATTTTGAAAACTGCCCGCCCTCAATCCGCGAAACTCTTGAAATTGATCCAAACGAATGTACGCAGCGCTGAAATGAGAGCCACATTTTGAAAACGACCCGCCTTCCATATGTGAAACTCTTGCACATGTTGAAAAAAGAATGTGCGCGGCGCTACGGCGAAAGCCACATTTTGAAAACGACCCGCCCTCCACGTGTGAAAATGTTGCCACATGTTAAGCTTCAAGGTCATAAATGATGAGGAAGTTTCAGGCGACACGCCCGGCCCGCCCTAAAAACTAGGCTCGGGGCAGGAGGAGGAGGAGAAGGAGGAGGGGGAGGAAGGGGTAGGAGGAGGGGAAGGAGGAGGAGGAAGAGGAGGAGGAGGAGAAGGAGGAGGGGAATAACGAGAAGGAGGAAGCAGGAGGAAGGAGGAGGGGGCAGAAGGAGGAGGCGAAGGAGGAAGGAGGAGGAGAAACGAGGAGGAGGGGGTAGAAGGAGGAGAAGGAGGAGGAGGAGGGGGGAAGGAAGGGAGGAAGGGAGGGAGGAAGGGAGGGGAGAGAGCAATAATAGGAGGAGGAGAAGGAGAGAGGAGGAGGAGGGGCAGGAGGAGGAGGAAAAATATAGGATGCGCGACAGGGAGAAGTTAGTTATGAGGAAAGGACATGGATGAGGATGAGGATGAGGAGGAGGAAGAAGAACGCAACACGCGTAGGCGTAAGGTCTGGCCAACTCAAAAAAACAGAGGACAGGGAAGGAGGTAGGGAGGGAAGGAGGGAGAAGGGAGGGAGGGAGAGAGGGAGGGAGGGAGGGAAGGAAGGATGAGGAGGAGGAGGAGGAGGAAGGAGGGAGGGAGGGAGGGAGGGAGGGAAGAGGGAAGGAGGGAGAGAGGAGGAGGAGGAGGAGGAGGAGGAGGAGGAGGAGGAGGAGGTGGAGCGCCAGTACCTCATGCGTCCATCGGTCCCACTGCACTCAACGCCTTGGGGGTTTCAGCCAGGGATAAGGCCTAGCCATTCCAGGCGGAGGCGGAAGAAGCGAGTAATTGTCAGGCATTTTCGTGAGCGCCGCTTTGAGGGCCACGAGAGATTGAGACAGATCGAGGGGCCGACCGTTCTGCCGCCCAACCATTTCCTTGGCTATGTGGTAGATGTAAAAGCACAGGGAAGTAGCAAGCACAGCATTCTCTCGAGTTAAATCGAGCGCTGGATAATGATCTGGCAGCCCAAGTCCGAGACGTATGAGCGGACATGAGGGCACCACCGCACGAGGACGACAGATCAGATGGACAGGGTGAGGGCATCGAAGGTGATGCTCAATACTGTCAGGATGGCGGTGGCAACCGAACACACAACACCAGCGCTCCGAGGTCACGTGCATGCGGTCCGTTGTCGTCCACCCCCCAGCGACCGTTTTAAAGTAAGGCCAACGGATCGAAGCGGGATCCCGGAGCAGGATTTCTCGAGCCAGGGCCCACCTCTCTCGCAGTCGTGTGGGGGTGGCATTAAACCAGGCCCGCACGCGACGCCCAATCAGGAGCTCTAATTTGTCGGGATAGGCTGAGCCAGAAACCGAACGCATAAAATGCCCTTGCATCTTGGGCCGGCGTCCCTCCAGTGCGGCCTCACGCACGGCGGCACGGGCACGGCTCTGGGCGAGGCGGAGCTGCGAGGCCAAGAGGGGAGGACGGCGACACGGCACGGCGGATCTCAACTGCTCGTAGTACTGCACAATCGACTGCTTCATCTTCCAACACGGCGCGCACCAAGCGTGCTGAATTATGTCCACAACTGGGAGGTGATCCACCACTCCCGAGACGAGATCAGCAGCGAGCTGGAGCCGACGGTGCATCGGACCCAAAACATTATCTAGAGTCATGGAGGCGGACCGCCACGCATTCGCCACCGCCAACGAGCATATGGCGTGAGGAGCGGGGGAGGGAGACCACGAGGCGAGGGAGAGGAGCTCCGAGAGGCCGAAGGAGTTCGGGGGGAGATGGAGAGATTTGTGCAAACCCCAGAGCTCGCGTCGCTGCAACGCAGAATTCAAGGGATAATACTGGCTCAGATAAGAGAGGCATGAAACGACGGAGGAATTATACAATCTCGAGGCGACATCGGCAGATGATTGCAACATTCCTAGTTCCTTGCACCTCGCGACATATTTCTGATAAGGAGCGTCCCATATCATGTCGAGGGTAGCGCCTGGACCTATGAGGGTGCCGAGGTATTTCGCGCAACCCTTAATGCAGAACCCGGCCCATGACGGAGCACACTGCGTGAGAATAGCGCGGATGTCCGAAATCGAATCGGACGAAATCTCGGTCCACAAAGGCACGACGACGCATTTAGCGACTTGAAGACGCAGCGTGGCAACCCGCTGAACGCGGACAAAAAGGGGCTCGAGGGCTTGGATCAGACGGAGGGATCGAAGGACCGAGCCGACGTCGTCGGCGCAGGCCCCCAGTGCCCCGAGAGAGCGAGAGGGGAGGGCACGAGAGAGGAGGCGGAGGAAAGGATCAAGCCCGAGCGCCCAAAGTGTGCCGCTAAGAGGACAGCCCTGGGCTACCCCCGAACGGATAGGGATCGGGAGCTGCCGGGAGCCACCAACGCGGATCCATCCGACCATCTGGGAATACAGAGCGGAAATGGCGAGCTGGTAGCCCAACGGGACTTTGAAACGAGCAAGAACGCGAAACAGGAAGCGGCGGTTAAGGCTAGGAAAAGCCGAAGCAAAATCATAGCTTATGAAAACTGGCTTTTCCTGCTCTGCGTCCGCAGCAAGAGATGCAATCCTCGCTTCCGTATCCATAGTGAGAATGTGCCTAGCATAGTTTCTACCTGCGATAAAACCCTGCTGGGCCGGATCAGTTGACGATTCTGCTACGCACTTCATGTGATAGTTCATTGCCGATGCTATCGCTTTGATGTCTTGGTTCTTCAGGCAAAGTGGTCTGGTGGTGCCGGGTGCCCGAATGCAGTCCGTCAGATCTGACCGCCCAGGATCCGCCGAACCCTTGGGGAAGAAAGCAAACAGACTGTCGTTAAGTCCTGGCATGAGAGCAGACCCGTCGAACATCTTCTGCATGAGCGGGAACACGTTGTCCATGGCCCTCTGGCACGGCAGCCAAGCGTCCACTGGGGGGCCGTCAGGGCCCGGGGCAGCACGCCGAGCACGCTTGAAAGCACAACGAAGCTGTTCAATAGACGGCATGGGCATACCAATCTTGGGCATGTCCGGCATCGCGCCGTCGAGGAAGGCGTCAATCTCCTCGTCATTCACCAGCTGTGCCTCGAGACCCACGAAGACCTGCGACCAGTGATCCGCAAGCGCCTTGGCGATCATGCCGGGCTGTCGCGCCACAGGGCCAGCCGCGCCAGCGCCGTGGACTTGCAGCCCATCCAGGACCAATCGCTTACGAAAAGGTGCCCACAGAGCAGCTCGTTTACGCGCAACATGTTCACGACGCTGAAAGATGGCATCCCGCTCGGGCCTTTGGTTTTGCTGAACTCTCCCAGCAGCTTGTTGGACTTGCCGCTCGTGCCATTGAACGTTAAGCTGCTCGTAATACAAAGCGAATTCATCGGGTAGAAGTTGCAGGACGCGATGGCCATCGACTTGCAGGTACTTCCTGCCGAGATCCGTGACGTGAATGAGACGTCGCACCGTCCAGACATCTTGGCGCCAAATGCACCTCGCGATGCTCCGCATAGTTTGACGACGAGCCTCAAGATGTGTCGTTGTATTCCCGCCTCGCGTATTGGTGGTGGTGCCATCGGGCATCTGAGAGAGAGCGTTCCTGGCCAGTCTAGCTGCAATCTTCATCATGCGCTTCGTCTCTTGAACTTTCAGCTCCGGGGGAAGAACGGATTGCTCGAGATCTTCCAGTAGATACTCTAAGATGGAGGCGTATTGTTCGGATTTGAACACATAGGTGGGGATGCTTTGCCCCTCGGGCGGGACATGCGTCTTCGCGCGGACTCGGAGGACAACCACTGCATGATCGCTCAGGCTCCAATCAGAATACTCGGCCGCCTCACGGTGCACCTCAAAATCGCAGAGAAGTTGCTCCAGGTACTGGGCGGGGAGGGAGATGAAGGCACGGTCGATGCAAGTGGCCGTCGCAGTGTCACGAGCAAAGCGTGTTGGAAGCTCGCTCGTAATCTCAACCATCCTGTCGCTGAACATGGCCCGCCACTGCTGGGGGTGCTGACAATAGCGGTCGGCGGTACGAGCAGATTGCCCGGCAGCAGGGCGAACATAGGATGCCGTGGTGGACGCATTGAGGTTAAAGTCGCCAATTGCCACAAACGTTCTGTGCTCATGATCCGCTGTTGCCCAATCCACCGACTGGTGCCACACAAATGCCATATGATTCAGCTCCTCGGCCGTGCAATCGAAGTTGGGCACGTTGAGCACCTTGAGCTGGTGTCCAGTCGTAGGATTACGAATGTGGACCATCTGAGCCCTGCCATGAATGATGGCATTATGATCTATGCGGGGACGCTCCGCAGAAGGCAGAGCGGCGAGCTCCTCAGGGGCGGCAGCAGGAACCAGAAGAGCAACACAGCCAAAGCCTGCCGCGCTACCATCAGAATGTGGAGGTGTCGCCGAATAGTAGATGTTATAATTGACCTTGTAGTGCTTGAGAGTCTCGATGAGCAGCTGGTGTGTACCGCGTACTTCCTGTAGGGCCACCACCGCTCGCTGACGGAGGAAAGGGAGAATGTGTCGGAATTTCTGCAAGCGCTTACGCTTCTTCGTGCACAAAAACGAACCCGCGTTCCATGAGACCACCTGCAGGCCAGCATGTACACGCCGGCCTTGGTTGATCTCCCAGGGTGCCCATCGAGCGCTAAAGATGCCATCCGGACGTGTCCAACTGGCCGGCGGAGGAAGCAGCGAAGAGATTGTTGAACCGGGCCCGATAGCGAGTGTGGTCCAGTTGGAACCGCTGCAGCGCCTCCGGGTTCCAGATGATATGCGTGGCCTCCTCCATGCTGTTGCCGACCTGGAGCTCGCATATCGGGAAGGCCTCCGCCGTGATGGTGCCGCGGCTGCGTTGGCAGCGCCACGACAGATCGCTGCGATCCTCGCTGAGCATCGCGTGCAGCTTCTTGGTCTGGATTTCGCGCCTGATCTCCTTCGGCGACCTGTCGCCGCTGATGTAGAGAGGCTTGGGGTTGCCCGTCGCGTCGACGACGGTGAAGTCCCTCCATTTGCCACTGATCTTGAGCGCGCGCGTGAGCGCCAGAGCCCGCGCGGTGGCTTCCGGGCCGCCCTGGATCTGGATGTTAAAGCGCCTGTTCGGCGTGTCCACCCCGATGACGTGCAGGCTGTCCATGGGCACCCCGGCGTCTTCGAACCACGGGCGCAGCGAGCTGCGCAGCTCCGAGGAGGTGAAAGTACCAGGGGACCCACATGAGAAGACGGTGGCTTCAGCAGGGCGATCCCACTCGGCCAACTGTTGGAGAGAGAATGCGTTGGTCTTGGCCTCTGCCAGTGCAAGAAGATCTTGCATCTGCTTGACAGTGGCCTGCATCTTGACATGGTCCCGATGCATTTTGGCCTGCGCATCCTTGCAGACGGCAACCTCGCGCTCCAGCTCGGACTGTTTCTTTTGCAGCGGCTCCATCTCAGTCCGCATCGTGTGGACCAGCGTGGTTTGCAGCTGGCCCTGCATGCTGGTGAAGCTCGAGTTGACGATCGTGGTGACGGAGGTCTCGAGCGCAGTCTTCGTCGCGGCGAACTGGTCCGCCACGATCCGCTGGATGGTGGACTCCAGCGTGCTGGCGGCATGGTCTCCATCGGCACTGGCGGCGAGCCCACCAGCACGACCGGCGCCAGGAGGGGGCGTGCTGATGCTGACGGCCGCCACAGGTGTACTGGATTGGAGCCATGGGTCAGCACGCTGCAGGCGGTCATCGCCAACGCCGACGGCTCGTGCACCTGCTGAGGCGACGCCAGAAGCAGCAACTCCTGAGGTGGCTCCAGAGATTTCCTGACTGGGGAACGTGGGCATGAGGTCCAGCTCCGCCATGGTGGCTGCAGCGGCGGCAGCGCGCGCCGGGGGCACCATGTCGGGAGGTTCGCACCGTTGGCCACGACGTTCACTGCGGTCGGCACGGTGCCCCTGCCCACGATCGGCTCTGGGCGCAGCCGCGTCGGCGTCACGGCCACCACGAGTGCGGCGGCGGTGGCGCTGGGGCGGGGCGCCGCCAGCACTGCGACCACTGCGACTGTGATCGTCCTCAGCGCCAGAGCCCCCCGAGCTGCCAGCAGACGACGCCATTGCATGCGCGTCCACGGGATCTGGCGGAGCGGGCAGAGAAAAATGGAGGAGCGGTTGCACCGCAGGGGACAATGGAAATTGCTGAAGAGCACAGGGGCTTTGGGCCCAAGCTTGAGCCAAAATGGCTACGGAGGAGGAGGAGGTGGAGGAGGAGGAGGAGGTGGAGGAGGAAGAGGAGGAGGACGACGAGGCGGAGGAGGAGGAGGAGGAGGAGGGGGGAGGGAGAAGGAGGAGGGGGAGGGAGGGAGGGAGGGCGCACGAGGCGCCCGCGCGATCCGCCCGCGCGGCCCCGCCGCGGCTCCTGCTGCGCCCCGCGGCGCCCTCGGCGGCGTCCTCCGCAGCGGCGGGGCCGCCGCGCCGCGGCGGCGAGGCGGCCGACGTCGTCGGTGCCCTGGCCGCCGCGGCCGAGCGGCGGCCGTGCGCGGCCTTGCGGCCCGGCGGCGGCGGCGAGGCCCGGCGGTCGGAGGCCTCGGCTGGCGCGGCGGCCGCCGCGCCCGGCGTGGCCCAGGCGGCCCGGCGGCCCGCGCGGTCGTGCAGCGGCACGCGCCGCTCCACCGCGCGGCCGCAGGCGTCGCATGGGCCGCGCGACGGCGCCAGGGCCGCGGCCGCCCGCGAGAGGACGCAGCCGCACGGCAGGAGCAGCACCGAGGGTGTGGTGCGGAGGTCGTCGCCGGTCACCTGGGCGCCGACGGTGTCGGCGTCGTCGGCGCCATCCCCAAATCCCGGCGTGCATGGCGGCCTTCTCCTCTGGCATGGCCGGGCGGCCATGCACGCCGAGGCCTGGAGGCCTGCCCCCCCCCCTAAATGGACCCCCCCTGGCGGCGCCTCCCGCGCCGCCCCTGGCGCAGATCCAAGAAATCCGCGCGGACCGTCGAAAGTTTATGCTTATGCTTTTTTCTTCCTCAAAATTATCGGGTTGGGAGCGCAGCTGCCCTTCATACGCCCGCTTTGAAACGCAACACGCTTAAGACGTCCGTGTCAATACGTTGCGTGCTGGTTCAATGTATTAGTCCACGTTTTGGCGAACGTATCGTGTGCGTTGTCTGTCTACGTGTTGAGCTCCGTGTCAATACGCTAGGTGTTGGGCCTTGCGTAATGGGACAGCGAAGGTTGGGAGCACCGGGTTGGGAGAAATGGCCATCTCATCAGCATTATCGCGTATGTTGAATGGGCTTCTTACACAGTCGTGCCCTGTATCTTCCCAAGCCCTTCCTCCGAACACTGCGGCAAAACTCCGCCTCGAGTTTCTCGAGACGTTGGAATTCTGGATGCGTGCCCAGCTTCCTGGCGCGCCGCAACTGGCCCTCCAGAGAGGCCCCATTTTTTGGGGGGGGGCGGCAAGCCTCGGCGCGCACGGCCGCCCAGCCATGCCAGAGGAGAAGACCGCCATGCACGCAAAGATCTGGGCCCGAGGGACCTCGGGCCACAATATGGCGGATTCCGGAATCCCTGAACCCAACAAGTTTTTGCCATCTCTCAGAATATCGACTTTGCTTACCTTTTTCATCGCTACCCCATACTATGGAAGCTTCGTGGCGGGCATCGGTCTCTACCCGTGTCAGGCGCAATCTAAAAACCAGAGCGGATGCCCTGCAGCGAGGGCGTGTGGAGAGGCAAGGTCCAGGAATTTACCCCGACACCGCCCCGCACGCACCCCCACCTCTGTGGGGGGGCTTCTGTGAGGAGGAGCTGAGGCCCCACCCTCTAGCGTTAGGTCGGGCGTGGCCCCCCACAGGCGGATCTGGAGCGAAACATTAGAAATATTCAGAAAACACTCCCAAAAAAAAGAGAATAGTCCCCAGACATGTTTTGACGATTGTTGAATATTCCTCCTGGAGAGGGACAGGACAGGCCCGACTTGACTCTAGTGGGCACTCAGGCCGCACTCGACGAACCGAAAAAATCAAACATCAAGGAAAGGATGGCCCACGGCAGGGCCCTCGGAGGCGGGGATACGGACATTATCCCCGCCCAGGACGAGGGAGCATCAAAACCCGACAAACTCTCCTAACGTCCTCTGCCTGTTAGCTTTAGGTCGGGCATGTCCCCCTACAGGCGGATTTTGGGCGAAAAAATCATCAAACAAAATCCACAATGGCAAAACAAAAGTCACAGACATGTCTCCTGACTGGTTATGTTTGACAATTTTCGAATTTTCCTCCTGTAGAGGGACAGGCCCGACTTAATATTAGTTGTGATGGTCATCCCCTCGCTAACTTCGAGCTCGGCATCTTGGCGCGCTTGGTACTCCCGACTCTTGCTTCCGCCGCCGACCTTCCGCCCGCGGAAGCGCTTCATTGTACTTCCGCCGCCTTTCGCCAGCCTTCCGCCGCCTTCTGCCGAGGAAGAGATGCCAACTTTTTCGATCCGCACAGGCAAGGCCCTTGTTGGAACGCTCCACATGGCCCGAGGATCTTCGGGCCCAGGCTTGAACAAAGAACACGCCGGGCCAGCTCGGGCCCTCGATGGCGTGTTTTTGCTTCAAAGCCGGAGCTGTGTTCCACAGGCGCATGGCCCGAAATACATAGGACAGCTTTGCGGCAAACGCGTGGGCAAACGCTGGGCTGTCCTCGAGCGTGCAGCCTCGTGGATGCGCAATGGAGGGGGCTTCAGAAACTGGGCCAACCCGCAAGGAAACCGCCGAAGGAAAGCTGGCCCTGGTGAGCGACGGCTGCTTGTTCGGCATGACTGCTATATTTACCTCCTGCGGGTCGCCGGGCACACGGGGACGTCCCGCACCCGCCTCAGCGCGCAGTCGGACACGTCCGTCAGGGCGCGGATGTGGCTGAGGTGGGAGGGCAGGCGCCGCTTCAGCAGTGCCAGAACCACCGCCTCCTTCCGCAGGAGCACGCCCTGCCTGTCGACGACGAGGGGCCCCGCAGAGCTTCGGTGCACCCACTCCTTGGACAGGGCGCAGACCAGCCACGAGGGCACCTCGTCCTCGATGTCCCTCTCGCGGGCGGGGGAGCGCGCCTTCAGGAAGTCCGCGCGCCCGTTGATGGCTGACGCGGGCCTGCCGTACCACTCGGTCCCGACGTCGCTGAACGACATTGAGATGGTCGGGCGCGACGCCGCTTGATATAAAATGGATTCGGAACAGCACCTCTTCCCCGTCTGCCCCTCATCCTGCTACTCACCTCATCCTACTCCCCCTCCTCTTCCTGCAACTCCTCCTCCTCCTCCTCCTCCTCCTCCTCCTCCTCCTCCTCCGCCTGCTCCTTTTCCTCCTCATCATCATCCTCTTCCTCGTCCTCCTCCTCCTACTCCTCCTCGTACTCCTCCTCGTACCCCTCCTCCTCCGCCTGCTCCTCCTCCTCCCTCTTCTTCTTCCTCCTCCTCATTCTCTTCGTCCAGGTCCTCGTACTCGTCCTCCTCCTCATCATCGTCCTCCTCGTCCTCCTCCTCCTCCTCCTGCTCCTCCTTCTCCTTCTCCTGCTTCTCCTGCTCCTGCTCCTGCTCCTGCTCCTCCTCCTCCTCCTGCTCCTCCTCCTCCTCGTCCTCCTCCTCCTCGTCCTCCTCCTCGTCCTCCTCCTCCTCCTCCTCCCTCCTTTTCCTTCTCCTCCTCCTCCTCCTCCTCTTCGTGCTCCTCCTCCTCCTCCTGCTCCTGCTCCTGCTCCTCCTCCTCCTGCTCCTGCTCCTCCCCCTTCTGCTCCTGCTCCTCATCCTCCTACTCCACCTCCTGCTCCTCCTCCTCTTCCTTTTTTTTTGAGCTGCACGCGCCCCAAAGACCTCGCAGAGAGGAACCGACGCCCACCTGCTGAGGGGGCGAGCAGGGGGCCGAAAAAGAGCAGCGCCAACGGTCAAGGGCCATGCCCCCGTGGCGTGCTCAAAGCACGAACAGGGAACGCAAGGAGACCGTGCTCCGCGCTCCCTGTTCGGGGTAGGGTGCGCCGGAGCCGTGCTCCGACGCCCAACCTACCCACCACCTACTCCATAGGTGGCCGCGGCGACGAAGGCAATTTTCTCTCCCCTTGGCCCCTACGGGCAAACAAGGGTGACGAACGGGCTGCTACCCGCCTGTAACCCTCCTGGCCCCTACGGGCAGACAGGAGTGGCACAGGTGCCCTCCTCCTCCTCCTCCTCCTTCTCCTTCTCCTGCTTCTCCTGCTCCTGCTCCTGCTCCTGCTCCTCCTCCTCCTCCTGCTCCTCCTCCTCCTCGTCCTCCTCCTCCTCCTCCTCCTCCTCCTCCTCCTCCTCCCCCACCTCCTCCTCCTCATCCTCCTCCTCCTCCTCCTCCTCC